GGCTGGCCTGCAGGTTAAGTTCACGGAGAACTCATTAATGGAGGGTGGGTCCTGGAGTAACAGTAACCCAAGCTTGTTTTCTGCAGCTTGGAGGAAGAGAAGTGCACCTTGAAGCCTCATAACAATAAACACAAATGTAACAGTTGGGCACTTTCTTGATGACAGCAGTAATTGATGTCAGGGGAAGCAGTGTGGAGGGCATGCACAGTACACACATGCCTCGTATTCTCCTAAATCATGTGTCGCAGGATCCCAGTTTGCACTATAAAGAGATTTTCTGCTTCAATACTGCAAGTAATCCAGCTGCCCAGCATTGGGGCAAGGGAAGCTTGTGATAGTCTCCTCATATTGCAGTGTTTATCAGTCTTTCCCCTACAATTTTCAGGACACTTATCATTAAGTGTGACAGTTGTTTTACATTGGGACAATGTCCATTTAAGAAATGAGTCACATGACATTGTCGACTGTTCAGCTAGTGCTCATGGGCTTGTTGAAACTGGTTTCCTGTTTTCACAGAGTGCACAACTTCAAAATAACGTTTCCCTGTTGGGTTGCAGGAAATGATGAGTTCCTATGTTCTTTAGTTCTGACTGGAGCGTAGTAACTACCCATTACAGAATAATTGACAATGGTGGGGGGGATCGTTCAGTCAAGATGTGTGACAGACAGAGAGAGAGAGAGAGAGAGAGAGGGGGAGGGAGGGAGAGAAAGAGAGAGAGAGAGGGAGGGAGAGAGAAATACAGAGAAGAAAAAGGAAACAAACAAAAAAATCGACAAAATTCAAATTTTAAAATGGGAGGAAATACAGAAGGTCAGGGCTGCAGAGTTTACCATATGAGAGGTGTCAGGCAGGGAAAGGAAGAAAAATCCCACATTTAGAGTTAGCAATCAGTGAGAAGCTGTTGCAATTTGTTTTCGTGGGGGACAGGACACAAACCTAAAGGAGAAAATATCAAACTTAGGAAGATGTTGAATGTAAACAAGACCTTTAAAGAAGGATTAGAAGGCTGGAAGGTCTACACTGAAGTATTCAGTTATATTACAGCAAATGCAATTGCAGATGAATTCACCATAGGTAGAAAAGCCTCTAATTTACTTAGAAGCCTTGTCCAGCCAGACAAATCTGGAAACAAAATGCACTGGGAGTTAATTGATACTTTGGAGAATGATTTTTCCCCCAAATCCCTATTAATTGCAGAGAGGTTCAGATTTCACACATGAAATCAGTTACAGGAAGAATTGGTGGCTCAATTCTTTCTGAGCTGTAAGTGCCTTGCTGAACACTGAGTTTGGGAATGTTTTAGGTAACACCTTAAGAGAGACCCTAAAGTGTGGTCAATGAAATGAGGCTATCTCTAACAAAGGGTACTGACTGACAGAAATCTAAATCTTAAAATCGCATCAGACATTGCAAAAACTGTGGAGGTAACAACCAGAAAAGCTGCATAGCTAGGCCCAGTTTCACTTATTCGCAAAACAATTTACAATCAAAAGCTGAGACATCTGCCACTCAAGTATTCCAGCATCACCTACTGGACATACACAGAGCAGGGCTTGTCCTTAAAAGGGTATGAAATGTTTATGGTATAACTACAGGACCAGGCCACTGAGTTACCCTTCCACATTATGAAAGGCGATTACCCAACTTTATTTGGGAATACGTGGCTACAGAAACTACGACTGAACTGTACAGCAGTGAACAAACTGGTTGACACTAAAACAAGTCTGTGAAACACCTTGAACAAGTATGAAGGTGTTCTGAAGGTACCCTTGGACAAATGAGGGGAGTCCTAGTTAAACTCAAATTGAAACCAGATAGTCAACCCGAAAGTCTGAGGGCACACATTGTTCCAACCACCATCCGTCCGCAAGTAAAGGAAGAACTAATGAGGCTCATGGATATCAGTGTATTCAAACCAGTAACTACAAGTGATTGGGTAACACCCATCATCCCTGTTTTAAAACAGGACAGAATGATCTGTATCTGTGACAACTTCAAAGCTACTGTTAATCCAGCACTCTGTGCAGACAAACACCCGTTGCTTTTGATCAAAGATCTGTTCAGCAGCCTGGCAGGAGGGGAGAAATTCACAAAGAAGGATCTTTTTCAGGCCCTTCTACAGATAGGATAGGCTGCTGAGTTCCAACACCTGCTGACTCTAGTGATTCATCGGAGCTTGTTTTGCTATAAAAGGCTCCCCTTTGCTTTGCAGTCTTATTTTAGAGGCCGATAGGCCAAATCCTGTTTGGATTAAAAGGGTACAATGATATGTTGATGGTATCTCAATCACTGTCTCCACTTGAGAAATCTGGAGAGACCCTAAAGCACATGGGTTATGAGTAAAAAAGATGTGTGACTTACTCTAGATTGAACACTTAGGGCACTTCGATACCAACAAAGGGCTTCTCAAGGCATTGAAGAAAATGGAGGCAATCATGGAGGCTCCGTGGCCTACTAATGTGTCCTAATTGAGGACTTTCCTGCATCCTGTGAATTATTTTGGCAAATTCGTTCCAAGTTGGTTACTCTTCTGAAGCTGTTACACTATATCCTCTGCAAAGTCTTGGAAATGGAACCCAGACTGTGAGCAAGCGTATCTTGCTGTCTAACTGGCATGCCATAGGTCAGACATTTTCGTACACTTTGACCCTAGGTTGCTCTTGCAATTGGCATGTCGTGTCTCACCATACGGAATTGGTGCAGTGCTGTCGCACACCCTACCCAATGGAGAGGACAGGTCTACTGTCTTTGCTTCGCCTTCTCTCACTATGCAGAGATGGGATAGTCCCAACTAGAGAAGGAGAACCACAGCATCATTTTTGGTGAGAGGAAGTTTTACCAGAACTTATACAGCTGCAACTTCATTCTGCTGACAGATTATTGTCCCTTCACGTTTACCTCTGGCCCATACACCCGGGGATTTCCTCAGTAGTAGCCAATCAGCTTCAGAGGTGGTACTCCTCTTGGCAAACTTGAATGATATAAAATACAGACAGTCAGAGTGCCATGCAAACACAGATGCATTGTCCAGGCTGCCCTTGCCCTTGAGTGAAGGGAAATCCAGTAATGGGTTGAAGATTCTCTACTTCTTCCAATCAGAAAATGTGCCGGTGACAGTGACAACTGAAGAAAGATAGCAAAAATGACCCTATTTTGAGATGATGGATCTAGTCCTAAAAGGGAGTATCAGCAGGAACTACCTGAAACGCAAGCCATTCACGGAGGTAGGGAGTTGTCAGTTGTGAACAGCTATCTACTGTGGGGAGGAGGGTATTCATGCTTCTGAACTTATGATACAAGGTCACCAGGGCCATCCGGGGTGATGAGGATGAAAGAGCTCGCCAGGAGCTAATTTATACAGCCGAATTTGAATGCCCAAATGAAATAAAAAGCCAGCTTGTTCCAGGGTTGTGCCAAAATCAGAAACGCACCACCATTGTCACCATTACACCCCCAAGAAATGGCCCAAGATGCCATGGCAACATGTCCACATTGATTTTAATCGGCCTATTTGAGGGTCAGATGCTGCTGCTGGTGGTTGATGCTTATCCCATGTGGCTGGAGGTGGCGGTAATGAAGTCCACTTCTGCAGACCTGACTATTGAGAAACTGGACAAAATGTTTGAGCAGATTGTCAGCGACAATGGTTCTCAGTTCCTCATGCAGGAATTTACTGACTAAATGAAATGTAACAGCATTTGGCACATTAACTTGGTACTCTATCGTCCATCAACCAATGGTTTTGTGGAAAAATCCATGCAATTGTTAAAGCACTCATCGAAACTGTCAAAGAAGGGTCACTAATTCATTGAGTCAATAACTTCTTGGTCAGGTACTGAAATATACCTCATGCCACTATCCTGAACTCGTCAGCACACATGCTTTTTAAAGTAAGTTATGAACCACATTCAATCTGTTGCTACCTGAAGAAATGCACAAGTTTGTTGAAAAGAATCAATGAGCCCAGATATCCAGAAGAGAACCGGACTCCACAAGGTGCTCTTTTCATCAGGGTGACCAAGTGCTGGCTCGGAGCAACAATACTGACAGGTTTGTACCTGCCATGATCCTGGCCCAGACAGGTTTCATATCCTACACAGTCCAGACCTGGGGCGAGATTGTATGGCGAATACATGCTGACCAGCTGTTAGTGCACATCCCCATGCTGGAACCACCCATAACCACAAGGGCTCGAGAAAGGGCCTCTGCCTTACTTCGTGAAGGCAGATCACTGTCCCAGAACAACCAATTGCAGACACAGTGAGAACACTGCCTTTGTGGATGAGTGTGTCTGTATGCCTCCAGGGATGAACTCCCTTTTTGTGAGGTTCCCAGTATCCCCAAGGTGAATCCTCCACCAGAAGTAAGAAAACAGCTGGCACATAACAGGTATAGTAGGAACTGCAGATGCTGGAGAATCCGAGACAACAAGGTGCAGGGCTGGATGAACACAGCAGGCCAAGCAGCATCTATGTTTGTTGTATCTAATGGAACTGTGTATCATGCCCTCGTAAATTGTTTTGCTGCTCACACATCTATGTTATGTTTAGAACTGTGTAATATTATGGTTGTTTATTTAAGAGGAGGTTTAAAGTAAAGAGGGAGTGGTTTATGTATTATAGTTGGTATATGTTATGTTGGAACAGTGTCTCCCTAAGAAGTGAGTCACATGTCACTGGTGAGTGTTTAGCTTGCACTCATGGGTCTGTTTCTGAAGAAGGGCCCAGACCCAAAACGTCCTGCTCCTCTGATGCTGCTTGGCCTGCTGTGTTCATCCAGCTCTACACCTTGTTATCTCAGATTCTCCAGCATCGGCAGTTCCTACTATCTCTGGGTCTGTTTAGACTTGTTTCGGGTTTTTGTACAGCACACAACTTCAGAATAGAGCCTCCCTTTTGGATTGCAGCAAACAACAAGTTTGAATGTTCTTTAGTTCCGACTGGAGCATAGTAACTGCTCAGTATAGAATATTATTAACGTCTGCTGGATGGCTTTACCACTAGTCCATTAGGAGCTGTGCAACCTTGCCATTAAATGCACTTTCACTTTGAAGAAGTTCTTTGCAAACATACCGTACATCCTGATTTACAATACACGTTGTTTGCCATACCTTTGGCTGATGAAATTCAAAGGGCACCATTCCTTTACCACGTAGGTGTTGAACTGCGCTGATGTCCTTAGTTGATGTCCTGGACATGAATGAAGGTGCAGGAGTAACAGTGCCCATCTTTAATGGCAGCCTAGATTCTGGTTTCTTGTCCGGATACTTTGTTTCCTCTGCATATGACTCACTAACAACTATACAGTAAGCATTTTTCGGGTAAGTACCTGGAAAAAAGCATCAAGAATCGAATTTTAGAAAATGTCCTTTAGATGTAGTTCTAAAGTGCATGAGGTAAAAATATATCATAGTAAATTTCCTGAAGCCATGCCTTGCTTTGCATTCAACTATCTGAACTTGTAAAATAGTCCATGAGAATTCACTCCAATTTGCTATGTATCCAATTTTAAGAGACATGATTTAATGTCTAAATAAGAGGACCGTACTTTCACTTAAATATTTAATCACATTTTGAAGGTAGTTTCAAATTTTATGATAGCTTTAGTATTACATATTAAATTTGGACACAAACAAGCACAAGATCTCACTGGCTAAAGTAAGCTTCCTAAAATATTAAAGCTCAAACAGATTCTTTGCACTCTTCCAATTCTGTCCTTTTGTATACCACTGAGTTTAATCATCCCTCCATTCGTAGCCGTGCTTCCCAGCTACCTTGATCCTGAGCTCTAGAATTCTTTATCTAACCTTCAACTCCTCTTTACATCTCTCTCCCTCTTTATGTTGCTCCTTAGAAAATACCTCTACTGACTTGTTATCTCTGTCTGTGGCTTCCTGTTAAATTATGGTTAATAACTACATTCAGCAGTGCCTTTATTATGTTAAAGGTGCTCAATAAATTGTTTTAAACAACTTTTTAAAATAAGTTGTTGTTGTGAAAGGATAATAGTAATTTTTTTTGGTTCTAATGTTTCCTATGCTACATGCAGTTCTAAACATACGTTGGTTGTACTGGGGAGGGCTCTATTTTTGGTTTTCTGTCCCAGTAATAATTCACTTCACTATTTCTGATTACTGCTGGAATTCACATTACAATTTGCAGAGAACTGAAAGAGGCTGGAAAGTGCTTTTTTATGCTGTTGACAGAGGTGGAGGTACAGACTTTAGTGCTCCTAGAGCAAAAGATAAAGGCAGTGCTAATGGTAGTAAAGGAAAAATAGAGATGTAAAATGGGTCCACTCTCCTGGGAGGCACAACCAAGATACAGTTGGGAATGTAAGAAAAATGGGAGGACGGAAGTCATGCTCTAAAGCTGTGGAACTGAATATTCAGTGCTAAAGGTTGTAAAGTGCCTAAGTTTAAAATGAAGTGTTGTTCATCCAGCTTGCATTGAGCATCATTGGAACACTGTAGTAGATCTAGGAGAGAAATTTGAACATGACAATAAAGTGGTTGATTGAAAGGGCAAGCAACTGGAAGGTCAGGGTCATTCCTACCGACACAGTCGATATAAGCATTAGTTAGACGGCATGCAATAGTTACAGCTACTTAGTTAGATAGTTAGATTGCAACAGTCAAAGATGACCTTAGTTCAGGACATCAGGATGTTGAGTCAGTTCGAGTGGAGGTGAGGAATAACAGGGGAAAAGAAGCCAAGAAGCTACAGATGGGTGAGCCTGATGTCAGTGGTGGGTAAGTTGTTGGAGGGGATTCTGATGGACAACATTTACATGCTTTTAGAAAGGCAAGGACTGATTACAGATAGTCAACATGGTTTTGTGGTGGGAAATCATGTCTCACAACTTGATTGAGTTTTTCGAAGAGATGACCAAGAATATTCGTTAAGGCAGAGCAGTAACCATTGTCTATATGAACTTCAGTAAGGCATTCGACAACATTCCGCATAGTAGACTGGTCAGCAAGGTTAGATCATGTGGAATCCAGGGGAAGCTAGCCAATTGGATACAAAATTAGCTTGAAGATGTGAGACAGAGCGTGGTGATAGAGGGCTGTTTTTTGGACTGGTAGCCTGTAACCAGCGGTGTGCTACAAGGATCGGTGCTGGGTCCACTGCTTTTTGTCATTTATATAAAAGATTTAGAATGAATATCGGAGGTGCAGTTAGTATGTTTATAGATGACACTAAAATGGTGATGTAGTGGACAGTGAAGAAGGTTATCTCAGAGTACAACTTGGATCAGATGGGCCAATGGGCCCAGGAATGGCAGATGCAGTTTAATTTAGATAAATGTGAGGTGTTGCATTTGCTAAGTCAAACCAGGGCTTATACAGTTAATGGTAGGACCCTGAGAAGTGTTTCTGGACAAAGAGACCTAGGGGCGCAGGTACATAGTTCCTTGAAAGTGGAGTTGCAGGTAGACAGGTTGGTGAAGAAGGCATTTAGCATGCTTCCCTTCTTGGTCATAATATTAAGTAAAGGAGTTGAGATATCATGTTGTGGCTGTACAGGACTTTGGTCAGGCCACTTTTAGAATACTGCATTCAATTCTGGTCTCCCTGCTATAGGAAAGATGTTGCTAAACTTGGAAGGGTTCAGAAAATATTTACAAGGATGTTGCCAGGATTGGAGGGTTTGAGCTATTTGAAGAGGCTGATTAGGCTGGGGCTATTTTTCCTGGAGTGTCGAAGGCTCAGGGGTGACCTTATACAGGTTTATAAAATCATGAGGGGCATAGATAAAGTGAATAGCCAAGGTCTCTTTCCTAGGGTTAGAGAGTCCAAAACTAGAGAGCATAGGTTTAAGGTGAGAGGGGAAAGATTTAAAAAGAACCCGAAGAACAACTTTTTAACACTGATGGTGGTGCGTGTAGGTAACGAGCTGCCAGAGGAAGTGGTAGAGACATGTACAATTACAACATTTAAAATGCATCATTTACGATTACAACATCTGGATGGGTACATGACTAGGAAGGGTTTAGAGGGAGATGGGCCAAATGCTAGCAAATGAGACTAGATCAGTTTCGGATATCTCATTGGCCCGGACGAGTTGGACCAAAGAATCTGTTTCAATGCTGTATAACTCTGACTCAGTGTCTCTAAATCTCTAGTAAAGATGATCTACAGGTTCGCTAACAGTAACCATACTTTAGGACAAAGTATATTAAAAAAATTGGGTGCTTGAGATAAAGGGTCAGCAATAATCATGGGTGATTAAAGTTTTGGAGAACATTTGTAGCTAGGGTGAAGAGGTTGTAGACATGCTTGCCGAGCCAGTGGGTTTGGTTGTAAACGTTTCGTCACCCTGTTAGGTAATATCGTCAGTGCACCTCCGGTGAAGCATTGGTGTTCTAGTCCACTTGTTATTTATATGCTTCAGTTTGTCGGGGTGTTTGGTACCACTTCCAGTTTTGTTTCTCAGTGGTTTGCACACAAGGTCTTATTCAATGTGTTTGTTGATGGAGTTGCAGTTAGAATACTGAGGATCGGTGTGGGATTGTTGGGCCGAAGGGCCTGTTTCCACACTGTAGGAATTCTATGACTCTATGAATACCAGGGCTCCCTGGTGTGTCTCTGTTTGGCTTGTGTGATTTATGGATGTGTTGTCCCAGTCAAATTAGTGTCCCTCATTGTCTGTGTGTAATGAGACAAATGAGAATTGGTCATGTCTCTTGATGGTTAGTTGGCGTTTGTGTATCCGTGTTGTCAGTTTTTTTCTGGTTTGTCCTATGTGGTGTTTCTCATTGTCCTTGCATGGTATTTTGTATATTACACTGGTTTTGCTGGTTTGGGGTATGGGATTTTTTACATTCGTCAGTAGCTGTTGTAGAGTGGTTGTTGGTTTGTGGGCTACCCTGATACCTAGGGGTCCGATAGTCTTGCAGTCATCTCTGAAATGTCCTTGCTGTATGGTAGGGTGAATGTGAGTCTGGTCATGTTGTGTCTTCCTGTTGTGGTCTGTTTCGGAGGTAACGGCGGATTGTGCTTTTCAGGTATCCATTCCTTTTGAAGACTCTGTACAGGTGCTCCTATTCTGCTTTGCATAGTTCTGGGTTGCTGCAATGTGTTGTGGCTCATATAAATAGTGCCCTAACGCAGCTTCGTTTGTGGACGTTGGGGTGGTATCTCGTGTGGTCTTTCTATATATGCTAGTCTGGAGTTCCCCAGTGTTCTTGCATTCTACCATTATGTCCAGGAAGGGTAGTCAGTTGTGGTTCTCTTCTTCTTTTGTGAATTTTATCCAGGTGAGGATGTTGTTTGTGTTGGTGGGTTTATTCTAGTTTTATGCGTTTGATAATCACGAAGCTGTCATCTACATATCGGACCCAAAGTTTGAGTTGTATTGTTGGGAGTACTGTCCATTTTAACCTTTGCATTGCTGCTTCTGCAATAAGTACTGATATTGGGGATCCCATTGGTGTTCCGTTGATTTGTTTGTATATGCCGTTATTGAAGGTGAAGTGGGTTGAGGCACAGATGTAGTAGTTTCATGGTGGTGTCCTTATTGATGTTGTTGGTGTCCTGGGGAGCCTGCCTTCTTAATTCATCCAGTAGTGTGGCAATTGTCTCTTTGGCTAGGTTGATGTTTATGGATGTAAATAGTGCGATCGTCGAGGACACCAGGATAAAAGAGGACAAGATGATATACTTCGACATAACAGCGCTGTTTACATTCATAAACATTGACCTAGCCAAAGAGACAATTACCACACTACTGGACACTATTTGAATGAGCCACAACACATTGCAGCAACCTTGAACTAGGCAAAGCCAAACATGAACGCTTATAAGGAGTCTTCAAAAGAAATGGATATCTGAAAAGCACAATCCACTGTTACCTCCAAGACAGGCCACAACAGGAAGACACAACACGACCTGATCACTTATCACCCTACCATACATCAAGCACATTTCAGAGATGACCACAAGACTACTCAGACCCTGAGGTATCAGGGTAGCCCACAAACCAATAACCACCCTATGACAGCTACTGACAAACGTATAGGATCCCATACCTCAAACCGGCAAAACCGGTGTAATATACAAAATACCATGCAAGGACTGTGAGGAATACTACATAGGCCAAACCGGAAGAAAGCTGACAACATGGATGCACAAACACCAACTGGCCGTCAAGAGACACGACCAATTCTCGCTTGTCTCACTACACATAGACAAAGAGGGACACGAATTTGACTGGGACAACACATCCATAATCGCACAAGCCAAACAGAGGCACGCCAGGGAATTCCTGGAGCCCTGGTATTCTAACCGCAACTCTATCAACAAACAAACTGAATTAGACCCTGTGTACAAACTACTGAGAAACAAAACCAGAAGTGGTACTAAACACCCCAACAAACTGAGGTATATAAGTATCAAGTGGGACCGAACACCAACGCTTCATCGGAGATGCACTGATGATGTTACCTAGCAGGGTGATGAAATGTTTGCAACCAAACCCACCAGCTTGGCGAGCATGTCTACAACCTAATCATGGGTAATCTACGTATACACTGGAAAAATCAGATTAGCAATGGTAGCCTGCCTGAAGGGTTCACAAAATGCTTTCAAGATAATTTTTTGTAGCAGCACCTTTCGGAACCGACTAGAAAGCAGTTTATACTAGACTTGGTATTGCATAATGTGACAGGAGGAATTATTGACCTCAGACTAAACACATCCTCAGGTAGCAATGAGCACAACATGATTGAATTTCCTATTCAATTTGATGGGGAAGAAGAGTGTGTCGAAGAGTAGTATTTTAAATTTAAATAAGGGCAACCATATGGACGTGAAAGCTGGGCTAGCTGAAGTGAACGGGGATAATAGAATAGGAAATAGATCAATTAAAAAAAAGTGGCAGACATTTAAGGGGATATTTCAGAATATTCAGAATATAGAAACATTCTCAGGGAGGGCCCATCATCATTGGTTAACTAAAGAGGTTAAGAAAAGTATCAAACTTTATCAAATAGTTCCACAATGATGAGTGGCTGGTCAAATGACTGGACAGAAAATAATGGACAGCAGAGAATGACTAAAACATTAACCAGGAGAAAGAAATTAGAGTATGACAGGAAGCAAGCTAGAAATGTAAAAACAGATAGTACAAGTCTCTATAGACATTTAAAAACGAAAAAAGAGTAAGTAAATAAGTTTTAGTCCTCGAGAGGGTGGGAATAGGGAGTTAATAGCAGATAGCAAGGAAATTGGGAATTAAATGAACAAATATTTTGCTTCCGTCTTTACTATAGAAGATACAATGATCAATGACAGTTGTAAATCAAGTGATGGAGGAGTGAGAAGAACTTAGTAAAATTACAGTCGGCAGAGAAGCAGTACTGAGTAAATTGTTGAAGCTGCAGGCTGATAAGTCCCTGGGTCCTGATGGACTTCATTTTAGAGTCTTGAAAGAAGTGGCTAATGAAGTAACAGATGCAATAATGTTAGTTTTCCAAAAATTGCCAGAATCTGGAAGGTTCCATCAGAAAACTGGAAAGTAGCAAACATAACACCTTTATTCTAGAAGGGAAGGAGGCGGAAACCAGGAAATTATGGGACAACTAGCTTGATGTCTGTCATGGAGAAGTGGAATAATCAATCAAGGAAGCTATGGCTGGGTACTTAGAAAACAACAAGGTAATTAGGAAGAGACAGCATTGTTTTGTGAAAAGGAAATCATGCCTAACCAATTTATTGGAATTCTTTGAAGGAGTCACATCCACTGTGGAAAAGGGAACCATCAGATGTAATTGACAAGGTTCCACATAAAAGATTATTACACAAAGTAGGAGCCTATGGTATAGGGGTAACATGATTATAACATTTTAACATGATCAGCTGACTTACAGAAAACAGATAGTATGCATAAATGTAACAAAATTAGAAGGTGACAAAGGTGAAAAACCATTCCAAAATGACAAAATGTTCCTTTTCCCAGCATCTGACTTCCTTCCACTTTCAGCACATAATTGATTATAAAGTGCCAGTCTGGATCAGTGAGATGTCTGCTTGTGTCTGTCAAAATGTACTGAGTTCAAACTTTAGAACTGGAGAACATAATTTAGGCTGACACTTTGGTGCATTAGTGATTGGTGTACTTTTTCATTAAGGATACAATCTTTGGAATGAAGCATTTAAACACTGTCTATCCACTTATTAGTTTGATATAAAAGCTCCCGAGATACTATTTTTTAAAAAAGCAAGGGTTTTTTGCCAGTGATATGGGTCAACCTTTTATCTTTCAACTCACACAGGCATGAAACTGTTTGTGGGACCCTGCTGCATAGAAATTGGCTTCAGTGTTTTCCACAAAACAGCAATGATGACACTTCAAAAAATTAATTCATAGTTTATGAAGAGCTTTGGGACTACGTGAGGATGTAAAGGGAGTTATATAAATTATTCCTTTCCAAGTGGAATAAAGCAACAAAAATTTTGATACCATGAAAATTACATGACTTCACATTATAATTACCAGAATCTTTCTTTTCCTTTGAGAATTCGTTTGAGGGGAATGTTGAAAGTGTAAACACTCCCAATCCATTCTACAAGATGCAGTATTGAGAGCTCACATTGCCTCCAGCCATTCTGAAACCAATGCTCAAAGGAATACAGTCCACCATTAAACCGGTCTTCTTTTTTTAAACCTCTCTACCCAATTAATTTTTAATGTATAGTCTATAAAGAATAGATATGAAGACCAATGGGATAATGATTAATACCCTACCTGCAACACTGATTGTAATGCATCCATGACTTTCGTTCTTATGAGCCAGGTCACTTGTAGGACATGAATCATATCCCATAATTTTGCATAATGTATCTTTGATTTGTATACTGCTGCAAGAATCTGAATCATGCGAATTGCATAGTAACAAGTGTATCCACTTCTGTAATCTTGTTATTCTTAAATTGTTACCGGACTGTATTTTAGATCTTAACACACTTTCCTTCTTTAGAGCAGTTTTATTTTTCACTTCTCTTTTCCTGAAGGTGCTGAATAATGAAGGGTTCAGTTCTAAAGGTATTGGTTTCCTTCCAAGTACATTGCTCATTCATTCTTGAAACATGAGCTCAGCAGTGAATGTTAGCATGTCATTTAACCAAGGAGGGACTATTAACCAAAAGAAAGTCTTTAACACTATCTTTACCAAATATTTCAGGGGCTGGTTTCCTACGCTTCTCTTGAATATCATGAATCTTTACTGCTCTGTTTTGGACAAAAGGTGGATCAACAGTCAGCTCAGATGCTGGAGGAATTAAACCTCGTTCAATCAAGCTCAGAATACCTATAGGAGAAGCAAAAATATCATTAGCAGTAACTGTGAGTAATGTAAAATAATTATTTAGTGCAGAACAGGATATTACAGCTTTAGGAAGTAGGGGTAAGCTGTCGGTCAGGCCCTAGTGTTCGTCTTGATGGTACAGCTTAAGGTCCAGAAATTTAGTCACGACTGTGGGCCTAGACACTTGCAAAATACGTGTTGGAATTTCATTAAAATGATTCTGACAGGTAGTCTGTGCAATCCATGCATTTCACTAGCTCGGCATCTGATTGGGGGTGCTGGGAATACTATAAATTGTACATGACTTGAAGGTAATCATGACCTTAAAGATGCGGTGTACTAGCTAGTAAGGTCTGTAGGCAGTACTTCTAACGCTGTTAAGAACAGAACGCAGCAGAGGCATTAGGTGCTTAATTCTAAGGACATGGTTGCAACCTAAGATGAGCCATCACAGTAATTTGCTCACGTGTCCAGCCTTATGATTCACAATACTTTCTTCCCTCACTTACTTTCAATATCTGACCATCATCACAATGCTCTTCATTCCACTTTCTCCTCCTCCACTTTCACACTAGTCAATATTGCAATGTTTACTTCACCAAACCTTATTCTAGGTGCATTACATATCAGCTACTCAACAGGACTTGTGCAATAGCTTAATATTTCACAGGGATGTCATAACAAGTGTCCAGTTTCTTTTCAGAAGTTCACATGCACAACACCTGACAGGAAGCTGTTACCTGAAGAGACAGGATTCCAGCTGCACACCTTCTGCTCTATGAAAGAAAGCAACTGACTATGACAGGAAGGGATAGATTCATGGCCGAGAAAGCTGGAGAAATTGTCATGCAGGATTTCTTCCGCCTTAACTTTGTTTCCTTTTCCTACTTCTTTCTCATCCTATACATTCTGCGAGATAAACAGCAGAGGCTTTCAACAGCCATTTCTTTCTTTACTTTTCCTTCACACCACAAACAAACACACGCCCCTCTCTTTTCATTCAGGTGCTAGAGATGTGAAGACACCTCTGTCACTTAAGGAAGATGAGGTCAGCCTTCTTGAAGATGCACAATCACTTGATCTTACTGTAGCATGCACTAAGTCAGGTTAGGATTAGGCACCACATATATATTACAGGTTTGCTAGAGGACGGGTCTTCAATGGTGAATCAGCCAGCACAGGTGAGCAGGAACTTGGGCAATGAGATGGAACACAAGGAGCCAGCTTGGAAGAGGACAAGAGCGCATACAAGCTCTGCTATAGAGGACTCAAACGTTAATCTCAAGTAAAAACTGAAAGAACCGCGGATGCTGTAAATCAGAAACAAAAACAGAAGTTGCTAGAAAAGCTCAGCAAGTCTGGTAGCATCTGTGAAGAGAAATCAGAGTTAACGTTTTGGGTCCGGTGACCCTTCCTCAGAACCGAGGAGGAAGGGTCACTGGACTAGAAACGTTAACTCTGATTTCTCTTCACAGATGCTAGCAGACTTGCTGAGCTTTCCCATCAACTTCTGTTTTTGTTGTTAATCTCGAGTACCTGGTCTACTGAAGAACATTGGTTAGAATACACTGGGAAATTGACCAGGGACACAAGAAGCTAGCCAGAAAGCTTGCAGACAACGTTGCAGTGTGCAGCAATCCTGCTCCAACTTGCTTTGAGGCTTCTGGCAGAACATGGTCAAAACAATACCTCAAATCATTAAAAGCACATTTCATACAGAAAAGCAACTGCCCATCAAGTTTGGTGTAGTTAAGACTAACATAACAGAAAAAGTCTTAAAATTGGTTGATACCTAACTTTATTGCACATAACACTGTGTGATATAGTCTAGTATTACTGACCTTTTCTTGCATCTTTTTCAGATACAAATGGAGGAAGGAGCGATGGATTTTCACGGTGGGAAGCAGGCAAAACAGCAAGTGTGCCCACTGTAGAACCTTTAATAAGTTTTTGAGGAGGTATCTGTTAGAAAGAAACACGATGAACAAATGTTATTTTCATTTTGAGAGGTTGTGGTTTTAAACTTGTGGTGAGTTTCAAGCACATTCACTTGCAGCAAACATTATTACAGCCTACCAGCAGATCAAAACTCCATGGTTCATTGTTGACATTTGAAGTTAATACTGTGATGATATTCATTTATAATAAATTACTGCTAGCTATGACATCTTTTCTGGTCTCCAGGCTATTTATAAATAAAATATTTTATCCATCTCCTCCCTAAAATTTCTCAATATTACCTTCATCCACAGTAAAGGTGAAATAGACAAAGAGAAATGTTGAGACACTTCTCCCTTTTAGCCCTTTCACTTCAAGGGCTTCTGTTCAAATCTGGATTAGTTCAGTGGAATGCATCTTTCTTGTCTTCTGTGAATATTTAGGGATCTTACCCACCATTAATTTTGGTGAATGATAATTCTGCCTTCCAAAGATGCTCCACTTTTCAACAGTGCTCTTCAGTGGAAATACACATTTACTTTTGGGCAATTCAGCTAAGGGATATTGAGAGAGCCAGAATTCAGTGGGTAAGCTTGGCTCTTCTTTGCTGTTAAGCAAGTAAGAAAATCTCTATGGAAACAATTATCTCAGGAGAAAGAAGAAAGGCCCAAAAAAATTAACTTTTCATCTTATATAGTTTTACTTTGTTTTCTTTATTAGCCCATTTACTTAGTAAATGATGATTCAAATTATTCAATACAAAGTCATACAGTCTCTGCAATGATCCTTTTAATTAAAGTAGAAAGTTGCTGCAGCATTCTGTGCATGTAAAGTGGAAGGGGATTGAAGTTTATAGAAAAAATATTTCAGTAAGCATTAAGAAATATGTATCTAATTAAACTCTTTCTAGATATAGGCAGCGCTCGATCCACCCTTTCAAGGATTTTCATCTCCGAAAGTATTAAATATTTTAATATTAGCGCATACTACATTTTTAGAAACATTATTCAGTATCTCATTTAAAGTGTATTACTTTGAAGAACAGTGACTCATAATATGTAAGAAAAATTAGCACTCACAGCAATTCTTTAAGAGGCATGGCTGTTGCACTTTTTTGTCATCATTTTTTCTAGGACTGTTAAAAATTAAATGCTCATTGAGAAATAATAATGCTTCAAAATAGAGGACTGTTGTGAGATCAATAATGTAGGCCACAAATAAGGATAAAGCAATTTAATTTACAATTACCATTTCAACATTCATTTGAAACAAATGTGGTTGTTTCAATGGTGTGACAAAATTGTTTGCAAATTTCAAGCATTGAGTGAGAATAAAAAATAACAGAAGTAGCAGAAAATGAAAAAAAGAGAAAAAAATGGAGGTAAGAGATATGTGCTGGCTGATAGCATTGAAAATGTCAATTCCAGGCAGAAGTCCAGCTCCTACCAGTCAGAAAGTATGGACCCATCCTATTGTAATTCATGGCTGGACCTCTGTCTTGCCCACAGACAGCTGTAAACCAGCAGCCCATAGCATCCCAATCAGGCACCATGTTACCAAAGAATGCTGAAACACACTGGAACACCATTACTGCATCCATGCAGCACGTTTCTTTTGCACCCTGCGTAGCTGAATGACAGACTTGTCTTGTATTCCAGATGACAAGCGCTGGATAAAAACTTAAACAAATGGTGACCTTTAGAAAGATTAATTTGTTTACCAACAAATGTTCTTCTGTCATAAGAGATGGGGGTGACCTTCACTTCCCAAATGCTGGGTTGAAAGTATACTGATTGTAGTCATCTGTTCCTTAACTCTGCTTTGGCAATTATGTCAGATTTTTGTCACAGTGACATTGTATTAATTTGTGTATTTCTTGTAAAGATTTTATTAACGTAACAGGCAATTTTTGAATTACTGCAGTGTAACTGGAATCTAATGAATTAGGCACATGCCAGATCACATTCAAGGAGAACAATCCATAAGTATTGACTACAAGTTTTATTATAAAAAATGAGGTATAAGAACAAATGGAGCCAAGGTACAATTATGCACAATGGATACTGTTTAATACCATGACAGCAGTCCTATGTAATTTGGATATGTACTGATAACTGTGCCCTTATGTTGATTTTATATTAAAAAAACAATTTTCCTCTCCACATTTTAAATGCATAGTGACGGTTTTTGACTGGAAGTACTTCAATTTATCTTGTAAACATATTCAAGGGAATTAGTATCAAATCATTGAATATTGTGTGTTTATATTTCACAATTCTCAACAGAGATATATTTCCTCAACAAAGGCTTTACAAACAAAAATGAACCATCATGTCTAAAGAAGGTAAGGATGGTGTCAAAATACAACATTGTAAAGATTAGTGGTAGACCTGAAAACATAAGAACATAGGAAACAGGAATATAAGTAGTTGTCGTTGACCCTGCTCCATCATTCAATCTTCTGCCTCAAATCCAATTTCCTACCTCCTGCCCATATCACCATGATTCCAAAATCCCAACAATCTTTGTGTCTCAGCCTTCAATGTATTCAATGATGGAGCATCCACAACCCTCTGAGATAGAAAATTGTAAAGATTCACAATCCTTTCAATGAAGACTGGCAAAGAGGAAGAGATGGCTAAAAAAAAGGAAGAAAATAGATTATGAGAATATACTAGCAAGAAATATCAAAACAGACAGCAAGAGCTTCTACATGTGTGTACAAAAGAGAGTGGTGTGAGATAGTGTTCAATAACGACCAAGATCGGTGAGTGGCGAAAATAACCTCTTTATTAAGCACCTGCATTAGCACAGTTTGGCAGCGATGGAATCCAAAGTACAATTTTTACACACATTAAAATTTTAGCACTATGGTGTCACATAGTTGTATCTTTTGTACAACTAGTTTACATGGCATCTGTCCTGGGGAACTCCTGATAGGATTAGAATGTCCGTCCGGTCTGAGCTTGCATAATTCATGGGTGTTAGTCCCTTTGACTTTAAAGTTAGTAATGTTAGTAGAAATACTAGACCTTATGAGCTAAATAAGTGAGATATTATACGTTTACTAAATAAATATATAGAGGACATTAAACTAATCTCCCGCAGCTGGCTTGTGAGATTTCATTTACTATCGCTGGTCTTCGGCAGTTCCTACACATTCATTCGTGCATTTTCACAGAAGTGCTGTTTTGATACTAAGTTTCTTTAAGGGGCTATCAGCACTATTTAATATGTAATTTAAAAGTATAAATCTATATGTTAGTTCAAGATGGTAGTCCTTAATAAAAGTTAGAAATAGGAATGATAGTGTTATAGAAATACTTAGTGTATAAGGAAATTTCAAAGAGATAAAAAGCAGCACACTGTAGGGACATGCTGGTGGAGGAAACTGTTTGATGTCCTGCAGCCTACTCAGGTCCTGAGAGATGGTTACTAAGGGCTAATTAATATTATAATCTTTCCATAGTTTTGAGTGAGTTATGGAGACACAATGGCGGGGATGGCATTGTTCTGAGTAGGTTACAGTATTAACAATTATTCAGGGGTAGCCTTTGATACAGAAACAGGTCTAAACACAGCTTGCAGCATGGGGCTGTTAAGAATTGAAAGGCGTAAAGAAACAGTAATGGATTGGTAGCCTACGAAGGGATGTTTAATTTAGTTTATCTTGGTAGAGTAAAATGTACTACAAAAATGCGGTTTTATGCATGAATGAATGGAAACGTGGTATAGTAAACATAGCGCACTTGTGAATGAGTTAGTAAAGAGACTCATAATACAATATCTCACAATAGCTAAATAAAAAATTGTTAATTCCTTAGTTCCACCCTTGGAGGACTAATGGGAAACAAGGAAGTGGTAGTGATCTTAAACAATGATTTTGTATCTATCTTCGTGATACAAAACACTAAAAACAATCAGGAAGCATCAGAGAGGAAAAATTTAAAACAATCCTCATCACTGGATCAAATGCATTAGACAGACTAATTTGACTAAAAGCTGACAAGTCCCTTGGACCTGATGGCATGTATCTAAATGTCTTAAAATAAATTGCTATAATGAGAGTGGATCGTTTGCAAAATTCCCTAGATCCTGTAAATATCCCAATGGACTGGAAAACTGTAAATACAATGTTCTATTGACAAAAAGGGAGACAGAAAACAGGAAACTATGGGCCAGTTACCTAAGATGTGTCATAGGGGAATTGTTGGAATTCATTGTTAAGTAGCAATAGCTGGATATTTAGAAAATCATAATAAAAACAAGCAAAGACATGGTTTCATTGAAAGGGAAATTGATTTTGCCAAAGTTATTAGAGTTTTTTTGAAGACATGCATGGAAGGATGAACCAGTAGGTGTAAAGAATATGAATTTCCAAAAGGCTTTCAATAAAGGTATCACATAAAAGCAAACCTAAAGATGGGTGTCCCTTGTTCAGTAGCATTTAATACCTGCTTGAGGTCATCAGGAAGCAGGCAGCTCCCGACAACTACCAGCCCTCCTTCTGCTGTTTCCTCAAATTCTCATCTTCCAAACAGCAAACCCCTCCCTGCCACCTTCAACGAGCTGTTAGTTACCTTATTTCACAGATCCTACGATGATCTCTTGTGAAGGTTTCTGTATTATAGGCAGCAGCTACTGCTCCCAGTGGTGCCGCAGTAATGGAAAGACCATAGCCTCTGACAGATTTGGTATATGGGGTAGGTCTTACAAGTAAAATGTTCCTGGTGAAGCCAAGAGCACAAGTGGCAGCACTGCCTTGTACATTAGGGAGTGATTCCCTTGGGACTTCCAGAGATTGGATAGGTGAAGGTGCTGCCAGTTTTGGTGGCAAACATATGGTACCCCTGCCACCTTCATTAAGTTCTACCTTAACAGTCTGCAAAGGGCTATAGGTTGTAAATGGGTAAATAATTAATTGATCAAGCATCATGTGGAAAACTGTAAGATTGTCCACTTATTTTTTTTAGGAAGAATAGAAAGACAAAATATGATTTAAACAGACGAAGACTAAATAGTCT